TCAAGGCTTCAGACAAGGACGACCGCTGCAAAGACAAAACAAGCAAGAAACGAAAGCGATCAACTTCAAGTTCCACTTCGGATTCCAGCGCGGAGGACACATCGGATGAGGGAAGCAGTGACAGCAGCTCCAGTTCTGACAAGAAAAAGAAAAAGAAAAACAAAAAACGTGCAAGCAAGAAGAACAAGAAATCAAAGAAAAAGGGCAAAAAGGACAAGAAGTCCAAGAAGGACAAGGAAAAGGAAGAAGAAAAGGCGAAGCAGAAGGCTGAGAAAGAAGCTGAGAAAGAAGCGCAAAAGGCTATCCAGAAAGAAGTAAAGAAAAAGGTTGGTGAGGGAAAAAAGGTGGGGTTCAAAGGTAAACCTTACAAACTAGCTTCATGGATGCCAGCCGTTTGTGTGTCTGTAGCCTCCCTTTTCCATGCCGAGGAACTTGTCAAATTGAATGCTGCCATCACGGATGTCAATCGCATCGATGCAAAGATCCAGAAAATGCAGCTAAGCTTACCTGAGATGGACTGGACACTCCATGAAAATAAATATTGCCAATTTGACATTGGAACAATGACTTGATATTTTCTTTGCTGTGTGTGCGCATTCTTCCAACAGCATGTATGACTTTTAACAATGAAAAGAATCTCAGGGCTCCTGGATTCCAAGCTGCTATGAAAGAAGAGCTGAAGAAGTACAAGTCTCCGCTAAATACGCATCGTGAGAAGTTGCAACAGCTCGTGGATGCTGAAGTGGCCCCTTGTAAAATATTAACTTACACTCTACAGGATTCTAGAGAACTCTGAACCATCGTGTCTTTGTGTGATGTTTTTTCGTGATGGAATGAAACAATTTGCAGTTCCTGCTATGTGAACTGTATGAGGCTGATGACATCGATTCAGCTGTGAAGAAAGCTTCGGATATTCGTGCAAAGTTCCAGAAAGCCAAAGACGCTGGCACTTTCTAAGCGTACATGCTTGGGCTTTTGCTTTGAAAGGGGGGACAATCGCGCCCTGGATGTTTGGGGTTGAAACCATAGTGCCAGAGTCGATGAACAAATCTTGTGTAATTTTGTTCCTTCTTTGGAAGCACTGGTCACTGATGCTCCAATGCACTATGGTCAAATCTCGCACGACTGGGAGTAGATTCCAGTGTGGTGCACAAATTGTAGCAGTCAGCATCCAGCTGTGAAAGGGGATGAAACCATCGAGGGATCACACGGTTGTGCTCGTCGGCGCTCCATTAGCAAAGCGACTTATTTGATGCATGTCCACAACACCCCCTGATATATTCCACAAACCCGCACAAACCTGTCCTTTGTCCAGGCAGCCAAGAAGCCTTTATTGCAAAGAAGGCAGTCCGAGATGTTGCCGCAGCTGTGCCTTGCATAGCAAAATTGGTGCAGCTCGCACTTGCTAGATTCACAAAGCCCAGAGAAACCTTCCTGAACAATTGGGAAACCCTAGATCAAGAGAACTTCTGGAAAACACTAACACGTTTCCTGATGGCAACAACGAGGTTAGCAGCATTGATCGGGCTATGGAAGGTGCACAATGTCATCTTCGCGCCATTGGCATGCAATAATTTAGAAACGATACACGCTATCTCTGTGCATCATGCTCTGCAAAAAAGACTTTGGTGTGATACTTGCATATGTTGATCAACCCAGGAAAGCAAATCTACTTGTCACCAATGGACAAAACAATTGGGCTCCTATTCTATCTGGAACCGATCTCGAGATTTTTGGAGGATGTTCAATGTGCCAATTGCAGCTTGGAAGACATTAATTCATTGATGCACTATGAAAACTGACACGGTGTGATGCTGGGTCTTGTATCTAACCCAGGAAACTGTTAGTTTTCGAGCGCCTATTGCAGCTCCCAAGATTGCGTGTGGATATGAAATGGTAGAACTACAAATGTTGGAACCTTTTTCGGTTGTGAAATACATGTTCTGCAACGCCGGCATTCACGTGGATGGTGAGCAAGTCAAAAACTTTTGGCGACACCATAGAACAGTTGCATCACCTTGGGCTGTTGCATCGGATGCGACGGAAGCCCACATTCCACTCGGGCTTTTTGGAGATGCGGCGAAAGTGCGACAGTTGTCATATAATTTGCCTGAGAAATATCTTGGAATATTTATCAACGCTCCTTTGTGGAGACCTCGCAGTTGTCGCAGTGCTCGGTGGCTTGTGTTCGCCATCAAAGAAGATCAGCTCTACAAACATTATACATTGAATGCAGTATACAGGCGTTTGGTTTGGTCGCTCAACTTGCTACACAGTGGGCTCTACCCGGAGTGTGGACCCGATGGTGAACCACTGACTGGTGCTGAAAAGGAACGGGCTGGTAAACAAATCGCAAATGGACTTGTGTTCAGCGTCACAGAAGTTAGGGCTGACTGGCTTTACCATAAGCAGGCGCTGAGGTTGACCTCATCTTGGAAAGCTGGTTCCAAATCACCTGTGTGCTTCTTGTGCCCTGCTGTTCTGAGAGGCCAGGACAGGTATACCGATCTTGATTCGAGCACGTCTGCAATCTGGTGCAAAGAGTATACTCTATCCCAATTCTTGACGCAGCAGCTCCATCATGAGGGTGGGCCCAGCAACTAGGCTTGCGTGTAACTAGCTTTTGCAAGCCAGCAAATGCCAGTGAGCACCATTGTTGTATGTGCGATTGTGTTCGATCGATTGTGTTCAAGTTGTTGTCCTTTCAATTCATTCCACACCAGGTCCATTGATTTGCCTTCGAAATTGGCATCACACAATGCATCGCTTTTGTAGTATGCACGTTGTCAACATTGGTTTGTGCTTGGGTGTCAATGGCTCCTGCTTGCCCCTGCTCTGTGCAAAGCATTGTTCTTGTAGTGTTGTTGGACGCATGCTTGTATGAGGTTGTGATCACTTTGTGGCACCAAAAACGTGCGTGCATGTGATGCAAGAGCCAAGGATGACCCTGATCGATGCGGAACATTTTGGAAGCAGTCGCCTATCAGTTCAACAAAGGCTTGACACAGCCTTCAAGGCCTTCAAGGCTTTTTGCAGTGCCCGCAAAATTGCTTGCTCTCAGCCTGGCTTCACGGTGAAGATGGCCTCTCAGTGTTAAATTCCAGGTTTGCTAAACGTGTTTGTATGCTGCAGAACTTACAACTACTATATTCCAATGTGAGCTTGTGTGGGTTAAGGTCTGCAAAAAGAATGGTGAAGCGCTGCTGAGTGCAAAAGGCTACAACTCGCGCTGCATCACAGAATGGTTGAGCTCAGAATTGCTCGAAGCATCTCGTGAACCCAAAGATCCACGAATCCCTGCTATGAGCGTTTGCGTGCAACCTGGTTGCATTGATTGCGCCAATCAAAATGTGAGTGTGGAGATTTGCAATGCATGTAGGTAAAGGGTCAGTTTGTTTCACAAGCCAGGAGTTCCCTGGCAAGATGGTTTTCACTTCTCGAAAGGTATCCACGATTTCTGAAACTTGTCGCAACACACTGGATTCAAAACAGTTCTTGCGCCTTCTGAAGCTCAGTTTAGTACATACTTGGCTGGTGATCTCAGGAATTGCTTCCAGGCACGCAAGATATATGATGAGGGAATGAGATTTTGCAACACACATTTGCTTCTATCAAAGATGAGCTTCGCGCATCTCGTATAAATTAGAGTTCTAAAAGTGCTGACCTTGAGGCATTATTGATGCTTGTGCTTTGCAGAAAGCTGAGGCAAAACAAGCAGCATTTTGTCATCAAGCCAAAGCTGCATGTCGCTTGTACCGAAACACTTGGACTAGCATGGATTAGCTAAGAAAATGCAAAGAAACATATTATGCCAAAACAATTGATTTGGTGCTACATTGATGATCGAAAGCTATAGGCCTTTGGGCATTTGTGTCGGCGAATGCTTGTGCATCGTGCCCCGGCTCCTAAATAACGTTTTGCCCCCAATCCACCCATCGACGGTTTCCTCCGCTCTCCAACTGCCAAGGCACAAACGTGCGATATGAGCACACATTCCTCGATGAGGACCAGATGTTGTGGCTGAAACGAAGCTCCGCTGCATGGATCACCGGGCCCGCTGTTTTGAGTTTTCCGCTATCTGTGTTTTAAAGTGTTTGTATGTTTCAACAACTGTGAACCATTGCTCAGAAATGGCACTACGTTCCCATCCACTACATGTTCGATCTTGGCTGCTGAAATCCTCGAAACTCAGGCAACTTCTTGAGTATGCCTGCGTGTGTTTTTTTGTTTTTCGTGCTGTTCGACACGGTGGTGGAAGTTCTGCTGTTTGCAGGATGCTTCATGGAAAATGGAACATGGAGGCGTCTCCCGGCTGCATGCTCAAGTGGGTCATGTCCTTTGGGTTAAGACTGGTTGCATTCTCTATGTGTTTGATTGGAGTGATGGAATGTGGTGCTCCCTCGAGGTTAAATGCATCAGCTCGAAGCAGGAGGTAAAAGAACCGTGAAAGGGCGTGAAAGGGAGTGATGACCCGTGATGGTGGCAAAGGTTCGTCTTCCTAAGAACGACTAGGCTTTGTTTCGTCTTTGGAAGCCTTGGGTATATATATATATAATGCTATCCAACACATGAATAAGTATTAGGCACAGGACTCGACTTGCAGTGATCCTGATTCATGTTGACATGGCTGCCATGTCACGGGCAGCCTTTGCGGAACTGGGACTGTCTGAAATCGATGTCTACCTTTTAGGGTTCCCCAGCACCAAGCGCACATCTTCAACCAAACATCTCATCGATGGCCGCGAGAAATTCTATGGACAGAGGACCTACTGTAGTCAGAGGATAACCAATAATTCTGTCCTAAACCCGTAACAGTCAGTAAACAATTGTCACTAGAAACAGGTTTTTCCTAACCATCATCCACTGTTGCTGGTAATAGGATAGACCCAACTTATTGGAACTTCCCCACTAAAGATGAACATGGTGGAACAAGGTGAACCATTTTTTTCCGGGGATTTCCGGCATTGGCAGTGAGAGGGGGCCGGTCCGCTGATCGTGAGGATCCATCACTGGCATCGTCCGCTGATTCGCTCTTTGAGCTCCTTGGGCGCATCGCGCATCGCGTGCGGCGAGCGCGGCGGCACGGGAAGCGCATCAAAGCGCGACGAGTGTGACTCCAATTTGTTTTTGGTTTGCAAAAGTGACTCCACTTGGATGGATCCTTTGAATTCATTTGAAGGATTTATGGTGAAGGCTACCGGCCCGACCGAAGGCTGTCAGAAGGTCAAACAAAAGGAAGGATTTGTGGCCTCAATCAGTGAAAGGATGCTAAAGCGTCCGCTTTCCCCGGCGACTGGACTGCTGGAGTGACCTGGTTTTGTCATATTTCATGGCCTGGGCGATCGCGGAGAGTTCAGTCGCTGACGCAGAAGATGGTCCGGACCGGACGGCGCGTCTGCGCAGACAGCGCAGCGCAGACAGCGCAGCGCAGACAGCGCAGAAGAGGTTCTACTCACACCAGATCTTGATCTTTACTTCTCCCTATGGGTTTTCATCTCCTTCCTTCTTTTCATGTGCTGCAACCATCATTGGTTGCGTGGACCCCTTGTAGCGTGGCTCCTCTTCCTCTTCCTTCGCAGCTCCAGGGAGTGAATGAACCTGTGTCCAGACATCCCAGCAAATCCCAGCAGGCTTCAGTGGTGAAGGACAGGCAGGCTTCTCGCAGTCTGACCCCGAAAGTAGGATGGCTCAGACAGTCGACTGGAGGGCAGCAAGAAGTAGTAGATACATGTAGATACAGTTTGTTCCTCACATTTATCTAGTAGGGCATGTTGAGGATATCCTTCCTCGTTTTTTGATGGCACTTTGAGATGCTTTGGCTTCTTCTTGCAAGTTTAGTCTCTCGAAACCTCAGTTTTTGATGGAGTAAACATGGGTGAATGAACTGAGCCTGATGAGATTTCACTCATGGGGTGAACGCTTGACTTTTTTTCATGATGCTGTCTCAAGGTTGACCCACTGAGTGAACGCACCTCATGCACCCCTGGCTTCAAAGTGGGCGTACTCCCGATCTAGTCAGGTGTTTGTGTGTCCTAAATTTAAGACCTATGTACACCTAGGACGAGTATGATGAAACCACATGGAGCCTAAAAGCGGACCTTTGGAAAACCAGCTTCCGTGAACCAGTGGTTTCCAGGTTTCTAATCTTCCAGGGGTGTATGCTGGAAAAGAATGGAAAAGAACCTAACTGACGTTGAAAGGTTCTCCGAACGCCTGAAAACGAGCTCCTGGCCCAGATGCCAGCTTCGGTGGTTAGGCCATAGTTAGACCCCCCTGACAACCACCGAAAAGCCAGGAGCCAAAGGGTTGCTGTTCGCGCCTCCACCGCGATCGCGACGGCGCTATCCCGCGCCGGATGAGGGTCTGTTGGACCGCTGAGCACGAACAGCAGCGGGAAGAGCGCTTGCAGCATCAGGAGGAGCCCTGATGCTTGAAGGGGGGGGGACTCTGGACTCCACACCATATCCTCAGAAGTTGGTTCCCCTAGCACCCACCCCAGTCCCACCTTCAAAACGGAGGTCGGCCAGGAGCCCAAGTATCGAAGGAACCACGAAATAGCTTGTGGTTCTGCGCAGGGCATGTGTTCCAGTGAACCTGGCTGAGTTGGTGGGTAGAAGAACATCACTAGTTGGGAGATGGAAAGGCCTAAACCAGAAAATGTCACTGGTCATCAGTCAAAGATTAGCACTATTCTGGGGGAAGATGGGGGAAGGGTTTACAACCTAAATCATCATTTACACCGGGCCCCCCCTGCGTTGGAGATACACCCGAAGTATCCCAGACACTCCATGGATGAAGGACCTTTTTAGGGCTCAGGAGTATACAACTCCCAAACAGGTTCCTGGCTTAGCTTCGTTCCGGTTTTCGGTTTTCGAGGGTTCGAACCACCTAAGGAGATGGGCCAAGAACCCAAAGGAAGGCCCTATAGGTGCATCCTGCATGGGATGCTTTGGGTCGCTTTCAATTCGCTGGCCACATCGGTATCGACGGGTTCGGCAGATGTGACATGACTGTATCAAAAAAAAAAGTATAAAAGACACGAAGGGGCCAGCTAGTGAGGGGAACCAGTTTTGTTTGAGGGGGTTCTTGTTCTTGCAATCATAGTTGGCCCAGATGGTTGACAGTGGATTGCTGAGACACAGCCTTTGCCATCAAACAGGAGAACTTTCAACTTTCATTAGAAATTCCATACAAGGCCCATTAGAGTGACGCTCTGTTGCATATGACCTTGGATCATCCAGATGACTTCGGTCTCGGAAGGCAACTCCAAGGTTGATGAGGATTGGGGTTCTGATAGCGCTTGGGGTCCTGACTACAGATACATGTAGTTTCCTTAACCCCATTAGGATTATGCAGCCTAGCTGGAGTAAAAGAGGAAGGCATGATCAAACAAAGATATATTATATATAAGATAGGGTGGGCGACATTCATTCCACAGTCAGAATCCTTGAATACCCGAGTCCCATAAACATCGAAATGTTTAAAGGCTCATTGGGAATAAGTTCAGCCACCAGACTCACCAAGTACGAGGTGTTGCGATAAGCTGCTTTGCTCATCTTGCAAGTTTTGACGCATCATTTCTTTGAGTAGACTGAGATACAGCTTGGATGCGAGTCCCCTTGTGTTCATGGAGGGTTTGAGGATGCGCTTTGGAACATCCTGAATTTCCAGTGGTTTTGATTGGTTGTTGCTGCTAAGCTTTCGGAAGAGAAAGAATCGGAGAACCCCTGCAGAGCAGTCGCCGTCGTCGCCGTCGCCACCGTCGCAGGAGCTGCGGGCGAACATCGCGAAGCTTCAAGGCTTGCCGCGCCCCGCCAACTTCCAGCGACCGGGCCGCCCCTCGGTGGGAACGGAGCGGAAGAAAGGCAGGCCTTCCCAGCGTGCTGGGTGAAGTGAAGCGCGGGATACGGGTGTTGGATGATGTGCTACGTCCACTCCAAGAAAAGGAGGGGGAAGCTTCGGGGTAAGCAAGATTCTATACGCTTGGTAAGACTTGAGGGAGGGGGGAAACAGATGTTTTGAGGTTTACTGTATTTGTCAAGCTTTGTCCTTTGGAGACCTTTGAGATGTGATTGACATAGGAACTCATGACCCTTGGTAGGACAAATAGACATTTGCATGCTGTAGAAGACTACACATACAGAAAAAAAAAGTATATAGATTAACATCCAGTGGTTAGGTTGGCTGGCTGTGGGGGGCTCGGGCTCATTTTGGAACACATTTTGGAACACAGAGTCGGACTGTGGATGGTTTCTGTGAAACGACCTTTGGAAGAAACATGCCAAGGCAGAGAGACAGTTGGCAAGTTTGTGTTGGGCGTCCTCAAAAAGCATCTCCTGATGGAACTCAACATACGGATGCTTTAATTCCCCTATGCTACAGTGTTTTTTTTTTCTCAGACCCATGGATGTATATACATATAATATGTATATAACTATATAGATATGGTCATCTATCAGGTCTTTCAGTGCTCGAGCCTCACTCACTGAGTGGTTTCGGCAGATCGTCTCCATCCACCGGAGACCGGACCGTCCTCTAGGTGAGGAGGTCTATTCGGTGCAGCTGTGACTTGGCTTCGGAGGACGGAGCGTCGGTGTCCGGAGACGTGGGTCGTCGGTGTCCGCTGTGAGGTGGGCTAAACTGGTTGCGCCTGCAAAGAAGACCTGGTAGTGATGGTAGATGCAGAATATATGTGATATATAGTTTATAGACACGTCTTCCAAGGTGTTCACCAATACCCGCCAGGCAACCTGATCCATCCCAATGTGTTGCTTGGTAAGACCCATCGCTACGGTCTGACCATGTCGGCGTGTGGGCCGACCATGGGCTGGGTCGAGGGGGATCGCGTCCGACATCGAATATAGAAACAGATCACAACTGATTTCAGGTCGGATTTTCTGGTCAAAAGGATTGAGATCATTGCCAAGATGTTGGCACTGACCACACAGTCATTCTGAATTCTAATGATGCATTTTGAATCCCAGTTACAGATTGCAGTTGTAGGAGGTTTTTTGTTCTTTCAGCGGGCTTTTCAAAGCAGGGCACAAGAACTGGAAGCTAACAAACCATGCTAGCCGACCGGAGAGCCATCATTTCTCAACGTGGTACACACACATGATATTCCAAGATGGAACCCCCGAAAAACGCCAAACAAAGCCCAGAGGTTCAGATTCACATAGTATATAAAATCTTTGATCTTACAGTAGATCTTACGTAGATCTCAACCTTTAAACCAAAAAACGATTTAGAGTACAGCTCTTCAGGAGATCATGAACCCAAACACCGCCAGCACCGGTCAGCATCGCACCCGTCCAACACGGACAGGTTGCGAAGGTCGGAGTAGAGGAAACCCTTGTCTCCCGAAAGCCATTTGACTAGAGGAATGTCGTTTCCTTGGCACGTCAGATTAGATTTCAGTTTAGGGGAACGTCTACAGGATTCCCATACTTTTAAGATGCTTTGCGGTGTTTGGTCTGATAGATGCTTGGAAGCCCCTTTCCATTACCATTTTGGCTCAAGATTTTTTGCTCATGGAACTAGATTCTGGTAGGCTAACTGTCATCGTGGTCCTTGTTAGCCATTGGATTCGGTCTTGGTGGTCGACTGATAGCGGTGATTCCACAGCCCTGCGAAGTGAATTGGCGGCTGTCCGGACAGAGATCCTTCGAGCTGAACAGACTATCAAATTTGCTAATCACTCTTTGGAAAGCTGTTTGGGTGTCAACTTTCTTCAATCATTGGCCTTGAAGTGCATTGGACTTTTTGTCCTCCAGTGTGTGTTGATTGCTGCTGGATATCTGGTGTATCGTAAGTACTTGCTGCGTGGGGTATTTTTCGAAGCTCCAGTGGTAGTGGATTTGCCAGCTGCACTGCCTAGTCCAGTTAGCTCTGGAAAGTCTCCAGAGCCTTCGAAAGTTACTCCGATTCCAGTGCGTAGTCGTGGGCCAGTCCGGCCATCAGACCTGAAGCGATTGGCTGATCAGTATGGCCAATGATCCCAAGACCTTAGACATTCGTGAACCTCAAGTGATTCGTCATTATCCACAGGATGCTGGTGGTTTCTATTGGCATCATAGGGTGTTACTTGAAAAGACCGGTCCCGGGCAATGGATAGCGTTGACTCCTGATGGTGATTTGGAGCGTATCGATCTTACAGTTGTTCCTCACATCACTCTGGATCGTAACAGCGATTTCCCGGATGCCCAGTCCCCGTATGTATACGCCTTTGATGAAATTCCTCGGGCCCAGCTTGACCATCACAAACGCAGGGCCAAGACCATGAGTAATTTGTTCAATGATGCCACTGTGGAAGAGATAGAGAGTTTCGAATGGCTTGTTGCTGATGTCACACGTGATGATTTTGGGGAAAGCTTCAGAGCCGAAGACATGGTTGATGCTGTGTACATTCATGATTCAGCATTGGTTGAGTATGAGGGCGAAGTGGTCCATGCAGTCCGTGTTCCCACTTCCAAGAGATCGGAGTGGATTCAGCAGAGAGAGAAAACCAAAGGTGACTCTCGGCTTTTGGGAGATCACCGTGATGCACAGGGTCGTAGGTATCTTTCCTTTCAGGCTGCGCTCGATCTCATGACCTCGGTTGAGTTTTCCGATTGGCCCATCACCGGGCCCAGAGCAACAACTGAGTTTCTCCGTAGCATCCGTGAGGGAACCTCTGACCTGGTGACATATCACTTGCAGTGGGCCCGCAACAGTGGAGTGTCCTCCTATGCCGCATGTCTTCACGAACACCGATGTTTGTGTGATTACCTTCGGCACTTGATTACAGTTGACCAAGTCGATGTGTCAAATTTGTTGGGTGCCGAGATGATATGCCGTCGTCTCATCACAATTGAGACTGCCGTTGCTAGGAATCCCCAGATGCCTGATTTTAGTGGTTTGGAATTGGTGATGGAAGATAGCATTGGCCAGACAGGTGAGGCCAAAACCACCAACTTCACTGCTTGGATCAGCTCAAAGCTGAAAGAAAAGGCACAGGTCCAGAAGCAGGCCAGGCTCTATAAGGAGGAGTTTGGGAGAGGCCGTGGATCGACCGGAAGTGGTGATGCTGAACAGAAAGGCCGTGGCCGTGGTCGCGGGAAAGCCAAAGGAAAGTCGCGCGGGGGTACTTAGTGGTTCAAGCCTAGTTCTGGAACTTATATGTATTGTTATAACCAGCGTAACATCTACTTACACATAAGGATAAGTTCCCGCAAGTAGACCTCAAGTTCCATAAGTAAAAGTGGAAGTTAGTGTACTTACCTGGGAGATATAAGTTACTTACAAAAAGTTAAAGTACTTATAAGTAGGCAGGCGCCGTACTTACGAACTACTTATGAACTACTTATGAACTACTTACAAACTACTTACTGAAGCTATTTTTGTTTTTGTCGCTTTACGTTTTTGTTATGTTTTTTTGTGACTTTGGTCGGATTTCCAAACGGTTCACCCGCTCTCGCCATGCTGGGAACAGTGTTGTTTATTTTTCTCTTCAGCGGTTCACCCGCTCATGCCATGTTGGAAACCGCGTTGTTGTTTACGCTCTATTTCTCTTCAGCGGTTCACCCGCTCATGCCACGTTGGAAACAGTGTTGTTTACTCTTTGTCTCATCAGCCCTTGTATTTGTTTTTGATGTCGCGTCAAGTTCTTTCGTTTCTCATTCTGCTGTTTCTTATCCTCAGCGGTTCACCCGCTCATGCGCCCCAACGACGTGTTTAGATATAAACATGTGCGGCAAGGCATTTGAGGTTGCAGGCCGGAAATATAGCTATAGGAAAATGGAGGCCCGCTTGCTGGAAGACTTGCAAGGATTTGAAAGGACCTTTTCTGAAAGTGAAGACCGAAAGGCTTTGCTGAAGGATTTCCTGGGAAGCCTGAAAGCCCGGGACCCTTTGACGCTGGAAGCCGCCAAGAATGGAGCAGAAATGGTCGCAAAGAGCAGCGTCTTTGTGGAGAACGAGAAGAAGGAACTCTTTGTCGCCTTGTATGAGCGCATCGCAGCCACTCCCCCAAACCCGGAGACTGTTTCACAAAGAACGAAGAGGCGGTCACTTCAGGACTACACCCGCATGCCGAACTTTTTGACCGAGCATCTTTGGCAGAAGCTACTGTCCACCCACTCCATGGACTCAAAGTGTGACGCTTTATTCGGCCACCTGGTCAAGCTAGGTTTGCAGTTGCCCTCGGAACCAAGTTTTGGTATGTCAGCTACATTGCTACTTTGGGCAAGCCCTGCCAGGGAGAACCAGTTTCAGCTGCACTCGAACTTCTTGAGGCTCAAGAAAGCTTTGCAGCAGTATATGAGATCCGCGCCAAAGTCGACAACGTTCTTGCCACAATTGCCTGCCTGTTTTGCTGATCTCCCTGAGGAACTTCGCAATGCTGCCTTCCCTGGCGGAGTGGAGCCAGCCAAGCCTCCTTTAGAAGAAGGTGAGTTGCACATGGTCTTCAGACGCATGCCGTTGAGGGTTACCAAATGTGTGCAGGTCAGCTGCCAGACTGTCGACACCCTCGATGCCCCGCAAAACGGTCTCTCTCGATTCTTGCAAACTCTTTTGCACATGTCTCAAGGTCAGCAGCATGGGCAGCATGATGTTCCTATCACCCTCACTGGCGGTCAAGGCAGAGGAAGATTGGGAGCGGGTGTCGCGCACGCCAACCAGTTGATGAGTGGCAGCTCGAGAGAAAGTATGTCAGAAGCCACGCGGGCTCCAAGCCAGTTGGCCCTTCCAGCACTTCCTGCACCTGAAGCTGTTCAGTGTGAACCTCAAACTCCAGCATCCTGTCCTGCAGCTCGTCCTGAAGTGGCAGCTCCTGTGGTTGACCCCTTGCCTGAACCTCATGAAGCAGAGCCGGCTGAGCAAAGGCTGCTTGAGCTGGCCAAGCAGAGCTGCAAGGCAAAGACCGACACTGACACTCACCCCACTGGTGCTGTTCAGATGTCGGCTGAGAAGTTGAAGGAGATGGCGGAAAAAAGGGACGCTGAGAAAAAGGGTAAGGGTGCCAAGCCCAACTCAAGTAAAGTTGCGAAGACTCCGAAGCATGCCAAGCCCTACTCAAGCAAAGCTGCGAAGACTCCGAAGCAGGCAAAGAAGCACAATGATGTTGCGAAGCCCGGCAAGAAAAAGGTTGTGAAGGCTGTGAAGGAGCCCGTCCATGGGCAAAAGGGCCGCAAGAGTAGGGGACGCATTCCTACAAAGGCCAGGCGCTTGAAAATGATGCCGAAAGGTTGCTCCACCTGCCGCTTTGTACCCGGATGCTGCAACAGCTGCTGGTTGAAGAAAGGGTTTCACCCATGAGGGTTTTCTGAATGGATGCAATGCATACATTCGGTGATGAGGGGTTAGGGGATCATGGTCTTTTGCCGACTGTGACAAGCCAGTTGCCAGAGCTCTGAAAAGATTTTGGTTTTGGTGTGTGGCTAGTATGCTGAGCGGTCTGTCCGCTCATGACATTCAACTTTTCCTTTTGTATTTAATTTCCTATATATATATATATGTTTAGATTTATATAGCGGATTGCCCGCTCATGCTTCTTCTTGTTTCTTCGCTTTGTCGAGTGTCCTGG